GAATAAAGAGGAGACCGAGAACGTGTAATGTATTCTATCTCATTCTCTCACCGGCTGAGTCCTATACATTTATGTGTTTGTGTCTCTATGGACTTATTTTTTCGTTTCATCGAGTTAGAAATCACAACGATTCTAAAGAAGTTTCACTTCAAAAATCTATTTCATAATTGACTATAGTTCAGTGCTTAGTAGTATAAATAGTTATTTTCCATATTTTCGTTATTATTGTTTTTAGTCCGAGTTTCTAAAAATACGTTTTCATTAAACATCGATGTTTTGAGACCTGAGGCAGCTATTCCGAGTATTGCTGAGAAAGCAGAAGGATGTAAATTTAAACTGAATCAGACGAGTACCCATGTAGGAAAGTATGGCGGGCCCAGGCCTGGCCCAACTATGCAGAACTCTGGGCCAGGCTTGTAAGCCAGAGTTAGCCCAGTCTGGGTTTAAGTCTGGAATGATAACACTGGCCCAAGCTTGGTTACCAGGACTGGGCCATAGTTAATATTCAAATCTGGCCCATGCCATTTGATAAAATTGATAAAAAAAAAAGAATTTTTTAAGTGTCATTTTTTAATTTGAATTTTGATGTAGAGCTAACGCAAGTTTAGATGGTTTGACTCTTTATTTAAACGTAACTTTCACTAATTATAGAAATAAAGTGAAAATCGCATTCGTTCCAACCGAGACTCTAACCCGAGACGCGCGCTTGCCATACCGATAACTAACCCCTACACCGTACGACCGATAAGTAGATGCATATCGCATCATTCTTATAAGCTAAATCTATATGGTGACGGTTTATTATTTATATAATTTATGTTATTTAATATTGTGTTTTGATGAAAATTAACTATTTTTTACAAATGTTTATAAATTAAAAAAATGCAAAAGTTCTTATATTACTTTAGACTTTGTACATCGTTCTGTATATTTTTAATATTTTATTGTAAATTTTAATGTTTAAAATTATCAATATTAAAAATTCAATTGTAAATTATTATATTTTAATTTTTTTAAGATCACATAAATTTTGACGATATGCAATTGTTTTGGTTAAATAATAAATTTTCAATTTTAGCATTTTCTAACAAATATTCGTTAAACAATAAATATTTACTGTTTAAGATTCTAATATTTAATGATTAATTAAGTTTAAATTTCCCATTGAATGGCCGAGACTAGGTTACCCAATTCTGGCTCAAGTCTAGGTTGCCATTCAACGGCCATAGCTAGGCTTCCCAGTCTTGGCTAACGCTTGGGTAATCATTGAGTCGGCCAAGGCTAGATTTCTCAGTCCTGGCCCAAGTCTGGATCGCTATTGAATGGCCATGGCTGGGGGACCCAGTTCTGGCCCAAGCTCGGATAATCATTGGGTCGACCAAGGCTTGGTTGCCTAGTCTTGGCCCAAGGCTGGGCTCTTTTGCTTCAGCTATTCTATGGCGAATCAGTCTCAGCCCAAGACTGGGTTCTTTTGCCTCGGCCATTCTATAGCGAACCAGTATTGGCCAAGGCTGATTACCCAGTCTTGGCCCAATATCGGTGCACCAAGCTTGGTTGCCCAATACTGAGCCAGGCAAGGCCCCGTTATTCAACTTTGGCAGTTCCTACATGGGTATAAGTTAGAAAAAGTATGGAAAATCCAAATGTGCATATCTTAATCGCTCATGTTTTACATAAAATTAAATATTCTTTTATTTATTTTTAATTTCCCGCGTACAGTAATTTTTTTTTTTTTTTTTTTTTTATTATAAATATAAAGATGGCTTGAGCTACGAGCTCACTCTGCCGTGGATACAGAAAATTACAATATTCTTACAAACTAGGCTCCCTCACAGGGAAAATTCGAACTATAAACTTTCTTACATACTAGAATTCTGTCTATTATAACTATATAACTATAAGACACTAAATTTGCATTTATTAGTAGAACATATAAAGAATAATTAGATATTTAAACTAATGGTATTAATAAACTAAGCAATAGGTATGACAAACAAAGGATTCATTTCACTTAATTGAGATTCGATGTCATAAGGAGGAAAGATTTTTGCTTTAATGAGATCAGTTATTAGATATTCTCTAGCTTTATCATACAACTTGCACTGCCAAAAAACGTGGTTTGGCTCTTCAACAGCCTCACCACTCGAACATTGATCAGAATTTACAATTTTAAATCTAAATAAACTCGCAGCAAGAGAAGTGTGTCCACTTCTAAGCCTATTGATAGATACTATTGTTTTTCTACAGAATGTAAAATTTTTGAACCACGGTGATGCGCCTTCTGTCCAGTATTTATTAAAATAGTTTTTGCCTTTATCTTTACCAGTGTTACAGCACCACAAATTGAATTTATTTTTTATTTTAACTTTCCATATAGCTTTAAGATCAGAGGCTGGAATTAATATGTGTGAATCAATGCCTATTAATGCGCTTTCTTTGGCTGTTTTATCAACCATTTCATTATATTCAATACCCATATGAGCAGGAATCCAATAAAACTTAACTTTTTTATTCATTAAACTTAATCTTTGCAGTTGGTCTTTTATTACATGTATTATTGGTTTTTGTTTTTCAGGCTTAATATAATTTTTAAGAGCAATTAGTACACTTTTAGAATCACTAAAAATATTGAAATGATGTTCATTGTTTTGGAAAAATTTTTCTAGAGTAGTATAGATAGCCATGGCTTCAGCTGTGAAAATAGAGGCGTATTTAACTGTACGACATGTTTCGATTGCCCCGGCAGATACATTTACACTTGCAAATCCTACGAACTCTTGCTCTGGAATTTTAGACCCATCAGTGAACCAACAGTTACCTCTTATTAGTTCTTGCCGAAATAAGGATTCAAACTTACTGTTCGGGTTCTTACTTTCTTGGATACTAATACCGCAATCTAAATCAACATCAGGCACAAACCATAATGATTCGTACGAGTATGCATAGCACCAAGGCTTATCAGTGGAAGCAATATAATGTTGAATAGGTATCAGGTCTTCACAAGCCACAAGTAGAAGAGGTCTAGGACCTCGAGTTACGAGTAATGAATTGTCCCTATTCGCAACTAGTTTGTCCAGCAACAAGGTTATAGGATGTTCACTGTTGGATAACATTCTGGTCAAAAAGTTCATACATAAATATTGATATCTTAAATAGATTGGAGGGTCTTTGGCTTCTGCCAACATAACATTAATGGGAGTAGATTGCCTGTAACCCATAGCTACTCGTAAAGCCTGATTTTGTATAGCAGTTAGTTTTTTAAGTGTTTTAGATGAAAGAGGATGAAAAAGAAAACCTCTATATTCCAATCTTGATCTAATTAAAGCCTTATATAGACGTAGCAAGATTGTAGGGTCTACTCCCCTCCAAGTATAGAAAATTTTTAATTTTTAGTGTCACATTTGACTGAGCTAAAAAAATTATGTGGTTCAAATTGATAACACCATAGCACGATACTCAATCTTACCTCAGAATCTTTTTCTTTAATTATTCCAAAGAGTAATTTTTTTTTTTAATTGAGCTTTATTCTGGATATAAAAATTGCAGTTATATTTTCATTCCTATCTTCAATTTAATCCAATAATACTCAATAAATAAAAAAAAATTATTTTTTTATTTCGATATAACTTTTCCACAAACACAAATTGGACGATACTGTTCCAATTTCAGCAATGGACTTAACAAATTTAACTGCATGGAAATTTGATCAAACCTCAATATTTCTCTAATAACTTCAATCAATTTGGTACTCAAAAAATTTTTTATTCCGATATTTTTCAATGTCATTATATTACGACGTATTTTTAAATGAAGTTAAAAAATTTCCTACTTTAAATTTTCTAATTAATTTATTGGATTAAAAATAAACTAGGCTTTTTCAATTGGAAGTGAATTCACAAATTGTCATTTTATTGATGTTGCAAAATTCTCTCCAAAGGAATCCATAACCAGTACAGAGAGAATATCGAATGATCCATCAGAGGCTGGACTGACTGCAGACTGATTTATTTTTGAAAATAGTGACAAACACGAGTAGAGGAGGTTTAACACAGGAGTATCGAGTAGAGACAGTGATAAATCACGCGGTAAGATAATACTAATTAGCGGTTTAGGTATACAGAGAATTTGATGTACCTAATCTGATGATAGCCACCACACGCACCCTCTGACGGTGGGTGTTATCTGTGGCGGGGCTCTACTCCGGGTAAAGAGCACATATTGACGCAACGCATCTGAATCATTGACGCTCCTCGGATGAACATTTGTCCTGGTTTTGGATAGAAGCATACACAGTTTATACACATTCACACACATGCATGCATACACATGTGGATAGACATTGGCGTACATAGATGCACATTTTCCTTTCATTGAGACACAAGCCTGGATTGTAATTACGCGCCTCGTTACTTGATGCCTGCTGGTGTGTACTGATGTGGTATCATGATACCACGTCGAGCGTTCACTTTGATTTGTCATGGACATACATTCACTTTGCTCGGAAATTACGAACATGGAAATTCCACTGAAATATCCTCTATTAATTCCGAGGAATGTCAGTCAAGATTATATCCTCTGCTTCGCTCGCTGACCACCCACCCACAATCACCAGCCAAACAAAGTCCGGTACAGGTGTACATAAATCCATAAATTGCTTTATCTATCAGAAAGCGCTCCGTTGTTTTTCCAAACAAACTTTTGCGCGGCTTAAGCGCCAAGATTATATTCTACTATCGCTTGAAACTCGGAAAGTCTATTTTGACATTAAATTGATGCATTTATTAGTAAGCTTTTGGTAATTTTTTTCAGCTTAGTGATTGGCATTATCATGTACAGCAAAAACAAAAAGAAAATGAATTAAAAAACGGGGTCAAAGATTTTTTTTCACTGATGAAATTATTATTTTGAAGAGTTTAATTTTACTTCTCGTTTCAAGTAAATTTTACAAGACAATAATCATGATTTAAGATCTTTTCTATTTAATCAAATTAATTTTTTTATAAGTGTATGAGAAAAAAAAATAACTTGATTTAGTAGAAAAAAATCGTAGAAACTTTTTCTTGATTTAATTAAACGTTTACTTTTGTTAAAACAATAAAATTCTTAAAAATCATTCTCTTAGTTCAAGAATTGTTCTCTTTCATTAAAAAAATAATTTCTATGTCTATCCAAAATTTTAATTACAATAAATTTCAATTAATTGCATTAATAAAAACAAATTATTTTGTTTGAGTCAAGAGAAGAAATTAAACTAAGAAATTTTTTTTTGACTTAATTAAATGTTTTATAAGTCAATAAAATCCTTAAAAATGATATTAATAGTTCAAGAATTTTTCTTTTTAATTATCTCAATTTCCTTATTAGCCTTTATTAAACAGAACTGATTATTTTAATTTGAAACAACATCTGCAGATTCATATGCATCCATACCAATTTTAACAAAACTTTTCCCGTGTAACCTTACGCGGATTCAAATACAAGCAACATTCATGGCAGCGTAGGATGGATTTATGATCCGGAGGTACATCTGTTGAATCTCGACGCACACGGACCCAGAACTGTGGAATAGTGATAGCAGCGGTAGTTTTATGTAGCTAAAGTTGAAGCCGTGTGTCGAGGTAAATGCGAAAGAAACTTTACTTGTGTTTTCAATTTTCCGCATTATTTTCACGAGTCCCGGCAGTTTCTGTCTACCTCTCTGTATCTGTATATATGTGTATAGTTATAAGTTGTATATATATTACTTTTAAAAGTTTATTGCAGGGGAACGCATGACGACACGTCTCTCGGGAATAAAGAGTTGAATAAAATGTATGCCGTAGAAAACGTCGAGAAAAATTTCAGCGCTGCACAAAATTATGTACAAGTAATTCATGTGTATACTTATGTTCCGCTGGGCTATATGCATCATATATCATATATCATGTATTGTATATTGTGTTCTATATTGTATGCATGCATCTCGTTCTGAGTTCTTTTTCAACAGTGGCAAAACCTCCTATCCGGAATTTCCATATTTATACACAGAACAGGGGTAGCGGAATTAACCCATAGGGCTGAGAGTTCGGCTGGAGAATTGAAAACGAGCGTAAACGAGATGACGCCGGTGGATAGTGGGGGTGATAGGGGGAAGGTGTTAGGTGTGAGTCTGAATATATATGTATATTTGTATAGGTGTGTATGAATATATATGAAATGGAAGGTGGCAGGGGGAACACGGCAGCCGAGTCGCTCAGCAATTCGCTCAAATTGAGCAGACCAATTTGCACGGATTGTGATGCTAAGCGGCATTACACCGGGCGAGAAAACGACGGGCGTACGCGCGAATACTCTTACTCTTACTTTGCTCTTTTTATACAGAATCATACCTGAAAAAATAATAAAATAATTCAGATTTTTTTTTGTCTTGAATTAAATTCATTTCAGCTTCGTACTTGGGTTGGCAATTATTTTTTGAAATTTTTTTTAGAGGAAATTCTAGCGTGATATTTGAAACTTAAATTGAACTCATAAAAAATTATTTTTTTTTTCCAAAAAATTCTTGAAATTTTAAGACTCAAAATTTTTTTGAATTTTTCGTTTTTAAAAAAAAATTTTTTTAGTAAAAAAATTAACTTTTTCGAAAATTTTCAAGAAAAAAAATATTTTATAATTCGAAAAAATTTGATCTGATCTTTACGGTCAAAAATAGAGCCACAATTTTAAATAAAAAATCTTTTTACTCTTAATTAATTATATTGATTGATTAAATCATTAAGAATTTTTCAAAATAATTATTTACATTTGAAAAATAAGTAAAATCTTCTAAAAAAATAAATTTCCTGTGAAAAACATAAATAAAAATTAGCCGATAGAATAACGGCCCAGAATTAGTGAGTAATCACGTGATAATTCATTTAAGTACAGTCAGGCATTTAATTAATCGAGCACCCACTGGACGACAATTAAGTCCTGTGGTAGCACAGCCCCCGGTAGCTTATACACACACCGACACTACTAAATTTCATCCACATTAAACATAAATATACAGAGCTAAACTGGTCCCTTACTCATATAATAGTATGGACTAGACCCACACACCACTTCTCTTATATTACATATACATATACTAGTCCCGAGCAGCTTTGTGTACATAATAGTGCGGGGCAGAAACGCGCACGGGCTCTCATTAACGGCCGAAAATTATGCGAGAGATTTCTACGTCGTGAGTAGAGTTGAGTCTGCTCTCGTGGGCGTCGCACGTTATAATATCGCCCTGGCACGAATGTGCCGCGGCACAGCTTACGATATCCGGGCACGCATGCAGCTGACTATTAAGGATACTTTATGACGCTAATGCCTACTATGATTATTCCCAGTACGAGAACTACAATTGCTCAAACTGCACACCCCATCAAGGATATCATTACATTACTTTAAAACTTTAAGCCTCCTTTAAAACTGTTATTTTAACCTCGTTAATTAATTATCCTTTTATTTATAAACACAAATAAACTCGACAGTAATTACTGACTCGATAAGTTTTTTCTTGCCTCGAGAAAATTTTCTGCAGCTTGGATTGGACAGAAAAATTTTCTCAGGTTAAGAAAATTATTTTTTTTGGATTAAGATTTTTTATTATTAAGTTGATTTAATTTTATTTTTTTTATTAAAATTATATAATTTTTGCTGCAAAAATTTTTTAATTTCAAGTCATAGATTTTTATGGGAAAACATTTTTTTTTATTTAAATAATATTTAATATAAAAGTAAAAAAAATTGATCTAAAAATTTATTTAATAATCTGAGTAATTTTTTTTTGAATTTAAAAATAGAAAAAGTGTGAGTCAAGAGTAGTGAATTAAAGGCAACAATTTTTTTGGTTCAAATCATCTGTTTTTTTTCTGTGTAAGTAAAAAAGTACACAAAAAAGAACAATGTACATTGGCAACAGTTTGCATCGAGTAGAGAATTCATATCAAGTTTAATTAACCATTGTTTTGATTGAGGTGTATTGTAAATTTTCCAGTTAACCATGATTATCTCACTGTCCGTAGTGAGTACTGCTGGTTGTTTGTATAAATTTACAAAAGGGAGATTGCATTAAATTCTCGGCGAGAAAATACTTAGGTACAGAGCTGAGAGATGGAAAAATATTTGAAAAAAGTTCACAGAGTCAATGAATTAACTTGGATGTACTTGGTTAATTAGAATCGTCTGAGTCGGAGTTTCACCAAGAATTTTAATAAAATCGTATCCGCGACTAGAAAGCAAACCTTCCGGATACTTTGTACGTGTATTTTATAACGTACATCCATTTCTTCGGCGAATTATTTTCTACATTTAGATCTTTACGTCTGAAAAGTAAGTAATATAAGAGTCGTTCCATCACTTAAACGTTACTTCAAAGGTAACTTTAATTAATTGCATGTAAGCTCTGGCGTTTAATTAAAATATGGAAAAGTTACAAGGGTAATGGTAAATAGTCTGTACCTGCGAATGAGATGGATTTGTGAAAAATTTTATTCAAATGATATGGGTATGCAAAATGAGGATAGTTCGTTTGTGGCATGCTAGGCGGTAAAATCAACTTTGCTCGCTGCCGGAGGTCAAGCATTTCAGAAAATACTTTTCAGAGGCACGTTAAAAAAATTTTCAAAGGATCCGCGGAAGTTGATTTATTGAAATTTTTTTCTTTTGTTGATAATGAACATGGTAAAAAAATTTTTTACAATTAAATTGGCGATAGAATTTTTATTAGTTTATTAAAAAATTTTTTTTATTTTATCTAAAGTATAAAATTAACAATTATTCAATTAAATTCCTCGAAAAATTAATAGTATTTTTCTTACCTGGGGCAGGAAAATAAGAAATGTCTCAGATTACATGTAATTGTTGACCGAGGCGAAGCCGAGGTCGACAAACATGTGATCTGAGGCTTTCTTATTTCCTGCCCGTGGTGAGAATACTATTTTTCTCCTCGACGGAGGCGGAAAGCGGCATTTTCGTTTAGCGCAGCGAGCAGAAAATTGACGCTTTCCGCACGGAGGGGAGAAAAGACTGTATATCTATAGATATTGTGTACATTTATCCCACTAGGGGGCACTTGCGCATTATCATCTTATTTCAGCTGTTTTAAATTTTTTTTCACATTCATTTGGCACGACTCATGATGCAGAGTATCAGAGAGTGTTTTACGATGGAAAATTTTGTATTATTATTATATAATTAAATAAATGTTATGAGTCGTGCACTTTTGAATTTTCCAAGTTTTTTTTAGTTATCTTGACCACACCACCATATTTCAACAGTTATGTCCACTGTTTTAAAAAACGGGTTTTTTTACTAAAATTGTTAATTAATTTACTAAGCAGTGTTTTTAATTAGTTCAGTAATCATTCTTCTTGCCACCAATGTCTATTTTCTTAAACATTTGTACGAGGATTATGGATTAAAAATACTATTTCTCTTGACGAGATAGGAAGCTTGATTGTTAAGCCCCAGTAGAGTTATGCCTTCGTGCAATCGCGCTTGAGGCATGCAATACCTTCTGTGAAAGGTAAATATAAATTAGTATCATTCAATTAATTGAAAATGGAATGTATTGATAATTGCATTTTTTTTCCCTAAACTATTACTGTATTTTTAAGTCAATGCGACTATTGCTTCTGTAAAATCGTTAACTACTTTAGATTACTAATTAATTTTGGAAATTTCTTAGATTTCAACGCAACTTCTTTCTTTAGGGAACTTTTTGAGATAGTCGGGGGAGAATTTGATTAACAAATAATTCTTATCGACTTTTCATTGAGAGATTCACATATATGCTATGCGAAAATTAAATGCGAATTTTTCTTTACAATAATACATCATTTTGTTCAATCAGGAATTTTTTTTTCTTTCAAACATAGGTATAATACCAATTTTATATTTTAAGTTTAGAAATTCTTCAGAATTAAAAAGTTCTCGCACTGATAACTTTTTGGATAGATATTATAATTATCGAACAAGAAAAATTTTTAGTATCAAAAAAAAAAATTACTATAAAAGAAAAATTCTGTATAAATGAAATTTTTTTCTTGTTAGGGTTTACTTACTATCAAAATGCTGGGCTTGTTCCATTAGAAATTGACTACCTTGTTCCCATTGTCTTTCGAGTAATTGATCTAAAGTTTGTGGAATTGCACTTCCGCTTAATGCTCCAGAGGAACTTATGTTTGTACTTGCAACATTATTAGTTTGGAAGACAGAAGCAAATGATGTTTGTGGTTGCGTGGTGAATTGATTGGACCGTATCTAAAAAAAAAAAGTTGACAATTTTTCGATCTTATCAATAATTGTTTTACTTTATACAGTACATTATTATGTACAAAATAAATAAGAAGATATATACAAATGTGGTCTTAACAACAATAATTCTATACTGAACCAAGATTAAATTTTTTTGATAATTTATCGAGTAAAAAAAATTAGGAAAACGGTTGACCCTGAAAGCCATCCCTGCAACTTTCCGCTAATTCCACAACTAGGCGCTTAAAATTGCGCTTATTACGTTTTTAAGCTCTTCGAGTTAAAATATATAAATTGTGTGTTATTTTGAGCTCTCTGAGCTCAAAGAGATGGCTTTTCTATGCTTTTGAGCTCTTCGAGCTCAAAAGTCTGATAGAAGTTTAATGATACACTATTTTTTGAATTTTCAAACCGCAATAACTTTTGAATGAAAAAACCTTTTTTCACGCGGTTCGCAATATTCGACGCAGTTTTTTAAGCCTCAAAAAGAATCTTCAAGTTTGAATTGATCGAATTAGAAATTTCGGAGTGATTTCGAAAAAACACTTTTTCGGCTTTCTTTCGTTCACGATATCTCTCGAACGAGTTATTTGGTGAGACTTTCGTCTGCCTCCTTT